GCATTCAAAAACAATACAGTATCTTCATACATATCAAGAGCAACAATTAAAAACCTGTACATCTGTGTTCAAGGTGTCCCCTTGTGGACTGCTATTTACACACTCAGCATCTTCCCTGCAGAGGGCGCCACTAAAATAACGGCTACTCGAGGTCTCGCCTCAGACCCGGCAGGTAAAAATCTGCAACACACTGCTGTCTGCTTCCTCGTTCTCTATACTTGAGAGTCCTACACTAAGTCAAAATGAAGGAGAGGACACTTATGCTATAAAGGAAGTAAAACCTTTACACAGGAGCTGACAGAAAGTTTTGTAGCCCTATCCGAACACTTTTTAAACACTTGCTTTCCGTTGGCTTGCAAATGGTGACCTCCATATGCACTGAATGGTAGGGAAAGCAAAATAGCCAGCCAGTTGGAGGATCAGCACTAATGATGAAAAAGAGATCATGTAAAGAATTCAGATTGGGCGTTTCATCGAGGGTCTCTACTGGTGCAGCGGTTACTTCCTTTATATGACACAATGTCCTCTTTATTCATCATGGGCCACACTGTCTGGCTTGCAGGGGGATAAAAAGCACTGAGAAAGTATACTGAAGAACGGGTATGGTGTCAGAGGTTTACAGTGCCTACTAGAGATTTAAGTATTTAGTATATAGTGGTTAAACGACCTAATTTTAATTTTCTTAATGTTCTAAAATAAAAGACTAAAGGACAAAAAGTACTTTTTAATGAAGTTTGAATATGTTAAACTTTAAATTAAGCAGTTTCTTATTATGTATTTTCATTAAACACAAGTGTAGTTACTTATTTCATTGCTGTTATTATAAATTATAAAAGTAACAATAGTTTTAATAACTCATTTATAATAACTGATTTATTTTATCTTTGCCATGATGACAGTAAATAACATTTTACTAGATATTTTTCAAGACACTTCTATACAACTAGACAACAAGTGACATTGCCAGGGTTTAACTAGGTTAATTAGGTTGACTAGACAGGTTAGGGTAATTAGGTAATTTATTGTATAACCATGGTTTGTTTTGTAGACAATCAGAAAAAATATATAGCTTAAAGGGGCTAATAATTTTGACTTTAAAATGGTTTGTAAAAACTGCTTTTATTCCAGCTAAATTAAAACAAATAAGACTTTCTCCAGAAGAAAAAATATTATCAGACTTTTCTAGCTCGGTTCAACATTATTTGGGAAATATTTAAAAAGAACTAAAAAAAAATCAAAGGGGGGCTAATAATTCTGACACGTGTATATATATATATATATATATATATATATATATATATATATATATATATATATATATATATACAGTTGAAGTCAGAATTATGAGCCCCCGTTTTTTTTTTTTTTTTAATTTCTGCTTAACGGTGAGAAGACTTTTCTACACATTTCTAAACATAATAGTTTTAATAACTCATCTCAAATGTTTTATTTTTACCATAACAGCACATAATATTTTACTATATAATTTGAGACATTTCTACACAGTTTAAAGTGAAATTTAAAGGCTTAACTAGGTTAATTGGGTAAGCAGGATTGGGTAATTAGGCAAGTTATTATATAACAATGGTTTGTTCTGTAGACTTTCGAAAAAGATTTTAGCTTAAAAGGGCTAATAATTTTGTCCTTAAAATAGTGTTGGTGTTTTATATTCATTTTAGTAGTATTTTTAGTTACATGTATAACTAGTAATAGTTTAATAATTTTTGAAGTCCATTTCAAGAGCTCACACTTAAAGTAGCTGATGATTGATTTTGAAGCATATTTGACATGCTGTCCCGGGGGAGAACTCTGAGCTCATAAGATACTTGAGCCCAGGGCTCCCTTCCGTTTGCAGGGCGAGAGGCGAGTTTGAGCTCAGGTAGATCTCGAGAACTCTCCTGCTGTTATTGCTAATGAACAATTGGGGATTGCTATAAAGAGATAACTTACTAGGAGCATGTCTATGATGCTCATTTGGATTAGTCGCATGTTTGGGAGAAAACCGGGGGAACCCCTCACGAGCACGGGGGGAACATGTAAACTCCGCACAGAAACGTTGACTAGCTTGGTAAGGACTAGAACCAGTGATGTTCTTGCTGTAAAGCAACAGTGCTAACCACTGGGCCGCCTTGCACCCATCTAGGAAAGGAGGAGTAGGAGTGGAAGGGGGCATTCTTCAAAACGAAGATGGCTGTGGTATGGAACTTACTGTAGGTTATTTATGGTGACTTAGGAATCGTCTGATTGGTGAATCATGAAATGGCTAATGCGGGACCAGCTGCGATAAGCACGTGATCCTCTTGAAATTAGTTTATAAATAAATTTCACTTGTCAGCTACTCTGGATTTACATGAAATTGGCAAAGTAAAAACAGGACATCTTTCTATTTTACACAAGAAAATTAAAAACATAAATAATTCTCTAAATTACAACATTTTACTTAAAAGTTGAAAGAAATGTCATTTTACCAAATAAATTATTTATTTTTGTTCAGCAATGTATATATTGTAAAATCAATTATTTTTCATCTATTCACAAATAAATATGCCCAAATATTTATGACTTTCTTGACATTTTAATTTTCTTGACGTTTTAATTATGAAATATGTACTTTTTAAAGATCTATATTAAATAGTAGAGGTTTTCTGAAAATAAACATTTGCACAAATAAACATTCAGTTCCAAATAATGCTGTAATGAAGTACAGTTGCTCAAGTGCTTTACACCCCTGCTGAATTCTATCCTATATTTCTAGATATAAAAATCTCATTTTCTTCTTTCCTCTTTACAAATTCAATTGTTCTAGTTCTGTACAATGGCTGACTCCTTACAAGGCCAATATAGCAAATTCAAGTTGAAAATTCGAAGCTGAAACACTCCTTTTGTGTTTTGACATTTTAAAAGCATCAAACTCGGTGGGACAAACGCCCGTCTGCATTTATCTCAGTAGAGGGAAAGAGTATGACATCATTGATTAGCATTTAAAATGGCACATTTGCACTGATAGGAACCTTGCAGACATTGTTATAAAAAACATTGCATCGTTGTATTCATATATCTGTTGGCTCAGAGTATGGCTCGTATTTTGTGACTACTGAACATCTAAGGGTCTAAACTGTCTCCGGTACGAGGAAACCTATGGGACGGGACCATGTTTGGTGGGCATGCTAATTCTTATCTTTGTGGTCTACATACTTGTGGTCTTTGTGTCTCTAAATCTTGCTTTTTAATATGTTGAGGACGTAATGAAGGGCTATAAAAGTGGGCCGAAAGACCCACGTTGTGCAAAAACCAAGGTCAGATCAGATTCCACAATTTCAATAGTTTCAAACCGCCAACATATGTCGTGGAATACAATATCATGCCAGTGGGACATTTGATTTCATTATAAGGGCCAGTGCTATTAAAACTAGTAATATTCACTACGGACATGCAATTCTGAATGATAAGAATCATTTACTGTATATATCAAGCGTCTCATCAAGCCATTGGGCACCTCGGATTGAAATGCAGCACGTCTCGAAATAAACCGACAGTGCTGTGTATTTCTGATATGTGACATTTGGGGGGTCAAATACAGATTTATCCAAAATAAACAATGATAATAGATATGGATCTATAACTATGTACAATAAGCTTGCTACAGTAAGGGAAATGCTACAGTATTAACGTGTTGGGAAAACAAAGCTAAATCTTCCCCCTCACAAAAATAAACCTGAAACGAAACATTTACAAGGTCATCCCAGTTTCTGTACAGTACGTGCTGATGCCAATGGGATAATCAGGTACAAAGTCAACATCAATACCCAGGCTGGTTGAGAATTCTGAGAGCAGTGAACTTTCAGACGACACCTCAGATGTATAATATTCGTGTAAGAGCCCTGATATAAAGTGTTAACACTCAAGATCATTGTATCATCTTTTTCCGAATCGCAGATTGCTAAATGCTTACAGGCTGTGTGTATGGCAATAGAATTCGCATGCGGTCTTCTTAGTAAGCATCTATCGATATGTAACAGCACAGTAAAAATCTCCAGTGACAAATTAACTGGGTTCGGGGTTTTTAAATCAGCAAGATACAATTCTTAACTATATTACTAAACTTTGTAAATAAATTAATTCCAGCATGATAAAACACTGTATTATATTTTAAAATATCAACTGCATGTCTACAGGATTCAAATTAATTTATCACAGATTATTTTACTGCGCATTTCTTGGATGAGCTTGACTAGAGCTTCGCTTGGTATGACACAGAACAAAAATAGATAGCACTTATTGCTCAGACAGTTCTGAGGTAAGGATCAATGCATAAGCTGGTGGTACAGCATGTCTGATTATCACCGGATCAAATTTTCGGTTTCGTTTCACCAACCTGCCTGTGTATTTTAACAGTACACAAAATTACGAATCTCATATCTTAGGTAGAAAAATCCTACCGCAATTTTTGATCAGTAAGTCTTACAAAATGCATAGAAGACCTGTATCAAAATGCCCTTTTTTTTCTTCTTGGTATTTTTATGTTTTGTTTGTTTTTTTTCTTTTTGTCTCCTGAAATGAAGATTCCGCATGATGCTCGATGCTGATTGGTGGAGGGCTCGGAGATGAGGATCGACCAGGCCTTCGTTTTCAATTTTTTTTTTTCTTTTTCTGAAATGTCAAGGGCAATGAAATGGGTCTGAAATATTGACTCAGAAAGCATACAAATGCAAAAAAAAGTATCACAATGGAGGAAAAAGAAAAATCTAAACTTTGGGTCCTGACTTTGAGCTCGAGGGAAGTCTATGTCTAGTATAAAGGAATATCGCATGAGGCACTTGTAATGGCTCTCTTTCACTTTGACTCACTTAGCTGAAGTTTCGCAGAGCGTGTGCAGAATATTTTCCCCAACTTGTGAACCATGTCTTGCAAAGATATAGATGTTAAAGAGGCAGAACAGTATTGTGTTGCACACTTTCTACTATGCTACGTCTTAAATTCTTCTACTTGTATTTGTTACTCTCTTTTTTTTTTTTGGTAAACACTGGCTAAAGAAGCAGAAGGCACCTGGAGAGGTTTGATACGGCTCACTGGCCTTATAATAAAAGTTTAGTTCTGTTATATCCCCCCCCCCCCCCCCCCCCCACCCCCCTTTGAAAAGGAAAACCACCGCACACACAGCAGGGGAGGGTTTTCAGTCCAGTCACAAACAGCAAGCAGCTAATAAAATCTCTTAAATCGAAGGTCCGGTTAAATGCTTAGTCCGGCTCCTGAAGATCTCTTTACTTTCAGAAATGTCACTCTTCAGGGGCACAACTGAGCATCCATGTCTTAAATAAATCTTCCTTTTTTATAATAGATTTTTTTGTTGCATTCTTATGAAAATAAATTGAAAATGTGCAAAATAAAAATGATCTGAGAAAAGACACATGCTATGAAGGATACCATGAATTATAGACACATACTAACTGACCTTGCAGTTATGATCATGCTAGCCATAAACGTTATGGCAGCATTTTCATGTTTTCTCTTCTTGGCCACTGGATGGCGATAAAATCAAGTCTTGATCGGTCTGGGTGGGAGATTTCTGGATGATACCAGATCACAGAACTTTATACTGTAGGCATGGATTAGAGACAGAAGAGGGGCTGATGGGATGGTGGTGGTGGTGTACTTAAAACCACAGATATATAGACAGAGCAAGAGAGGCTGTATGAGTGGGTATGTAAAAGACAGAGAGAAATTTAAAAGGATAGCTTACCTACCAAAAAAATATATATAATAAAATAAACAGTCATTTACAAACACTAATGTCATTTTAATCCTGTATGACCTCATTTCTTACATAAAACAAAACCTATTTAGTAGAAGTTTCAAAAAGGATGCAAAAAGCACCATTTAAGTATAATACAAGTGATCAAGATGATTTGAGAACTATATTATGTTAATATATTTGACGTTAATTAGATATTTAATAGTTTTTTGTGTGAAGAACAGACTAAAATCTTAAATCACTGCAGTCACAATATCAGCAAAAGTTTGCAGGCAAAAAAACAAGGTGCATTGTCTACAGCCACTTTCGGTTTTCTACTTTGCAAATCATTGAAAAACAGTAAAAAATACAGTATAACCCAAAGTGTACTTAGATTTTTATGTGTATGTTAGGTCTGCGCACATTGTAAATGATGCAGATATTTAAAACATAAAACTATAATTAAAAGTTTTTTTGTGCTACATTTGTCCACAAGGTGTCAACACTGAACCAGATACATCCATTTTTTAGTAGACTGCTTTTCCTATGAATTATTTGTTTTGATTCACACAATCAAATAGAGTTAAATAAGTCAAATGAGTTAAAAGCTTACCATTTAGATCAGTGTTTCTCCACCACGTTCCGGGAGGACCACCAGCTCTGCACATTTTCTATGTCTCCTTAACCAAACACACCTGATTCAGATCATTAGCCCATTAGCAGAGACTGAAAGATCTGTAATGGTTTTGACAGACAAAGGAGACATCTAAAACATGCAGGGTTGGTGGTCCTCCAGGAACGTGGTTGAGAAACACTGATTTAGATAACATTAATTTGGGGATTGGTCTGAATATGGCTATTATATGACTCTTGAGAATTGGAATATAATGTAATATACAAGTTATATTAATGTCTTTGACAATCAGGAAAGAAATACAACATTAAACCACTGTAGACGCCCATGTTTATAAGGCAAGGCATCTTTTGGAAAGAAAAAGCAGACACTGAAGGAGAATGACTTTTTTTAGTGTGCACCTGTAAAGTGTCTACAGCAGTGTTTCTCAACTACCTTCCTGGAGGACCTCCAACGCTGCATGTTTTGGATGTCTCCCTTGTTACTCTGCTTAAGGAAACATGGGCTGTTTCTCAATTCCTAGAATGCAGAGAGACTTGCGTTCTTATGAAGACCAGTCTTGCCAGGTCACCTCGGAAGAACGAGAACGACCGTAGAAACACAGAACACATCCTGTGAGAAATAAGATGCTGTGTTCTTTCTTGATGGTCACAAGACCTTCACAAATTTTTAACGGAAATTTTTGCTTAGTGTCTTAGACGAAAATGAAGAGCGGGGGTGGGGTGTCTCCATGCCATTTCATGGTATCGTTTACTTTTTTAATCTTAAAAGTTTTATCTCTGAACATTTAAGAGACTGAAGAAATCTATATAAAATTCTGCACTTCCCACCTTCTTTATTCATCCACAACGAATTCTGGGACTTCTAGAGGGAGTTCGCGTGCTCAAGTCAGCATTGGTGCACTGGTGCATTCTCGATACCAAGAACACATCAGGGAACTTTCTCGCGTCCTGCATTCTTGCAGTCTGAGTTTTGGAACTGAACTTTCATGGTTGATAAACATGTTACATGAAAACACAAGCACACAAGTTCACTGAAAAACACATATTGAGAAACAGCCCGTGACTTTCATCAGCTAATGAGCTGATGATCTGAATTAGGTGTGTTTGGTTAAGGAGACAAGCAAAATGTGCAGAGCTGGTGGTTCTCCGAGGAATGTGGTTGAGAGACACTGGTCTACAATATGCTTACAAATAGATTACACTTTAAAAAGGCTGTGCAAGCATGCTTCCATTCACATAAGAAGTATACTTTGGGCTAAACAGCTTAACTTCACAATTCTTCTCGAAGAAGGAAGGTCATACAGTATTGGAATGACATGAGGAGGTGTGTTTAGGTGAACTATCCCTTTAAGGTGAAATAGCATTAGGACCACAGTCCTTCATTTTTCTGGCTCAGCCTTTTCCCCTCTAAAACCTGAGAGAGTTTGTGAGGGCTAGGGACAAGCCAGGGTCCCGGGGCTTTTGTTGAAGATCCGGAAGCCTCTGAAGGGCTGAAGGGATCCGGGGGCCACTGAGTCCCCAAAAATGCGATGCTGGCTGCAGACACACTGACTTCAGAGAAGCTGTGAGCCGATTCTGCGCCTGACCCATCATCGTCATTGTCCAAAGGCATGAGGAAGGAGAAAGGTGCGCGTTGTGTGACCTCGGTTGTGCTGGATCTGTTCTTATCCCTCTTTTCTCTTCCTCCCTCCTTTTCTCCATTCACTGGGAGGCTGTTCTCCCTCTGTGACCTAACATCTTTTGCTTTTTGTCTTCTCTCCCCCATGCTTTTGCTTTTTTGCCTTCCTCTTTGCCGCTCCCCCTCTCCCTTCCTTTCCCCCTGTTTTCCATCTCCCTTCTCCTCTTCTTCATCTTCTTCTCTCCGTGACCCTTCTTGGCCTCTCAGTGTACCAGGTAAACTCCGTGAACGCATCTGTTGCTCTTTCCTTCTCCTCGTGGACCGGGAGCTACCAACTGTGCTGACGTCCTCTGCCCAGCCATGCTTGCCCTCGTCTGCTCCACTTCCTCTACTCGTTCTACCCTTCCCCCTCCTCTCTCTTCTCTCTCGTCCACTGTCATCCACCCATCTGCTGCTCCTCAGAGGAGTGTGATCTACTGCAGCCACCAGCGGCTCCTCGGAGAAGACGGAGGAGGGGGAAGCGGCTCCGGCTTCATGGTCTAAGATAAAGAAAAATTCAGAGATGGTTGAATGATAAATGCATTCATGTCAATTTACAAAAAAGATAAGTATTAAGACCCCAGTATACTTCAGATGATGTTTTAGTTCTTTTTTTGAGGGCAAAAAGAAGTTCAAAAAGGCTGCAGGACGGTATACTGTTTTGAAATACTCTACACCTTGCTCATTATTCGAGCAAATTCGTTCCCACAGGTTGAAAAGAAATTTAAAGCTACGTCACGGTGATTAGATCCATTTGTAAATTCCAGCATGGAGATTGGATGTCTGTATTGACCGGTACAACGTGACGTCTTGGAGTTTTCATGATTAATACGTGAGAAAGACTTGGTTCGAGACAATCAGCGCACTCTATTGTGAATGAGGTGCAACTTCATTAATATGCATGATAGCTTCGAAGACTCTTTTTACCAGTTACAGTGTTCAGACAGCAGAGAGACGCCATGGTGTGCTGCCAACCATTATTAAAACAAGTTGAAGAAGATGAATTGTTCGGAGACATGGGTCATCACTGTTGCATTTATAAATGTGGCAGGATAGTCTATACACACACGGCTGTTTGACACTATTCTCTGCACCTACCAAGTCTCTACATGTAAATTACCAAGAAATGTAGAGTTTTTTTTCCTCCCAAACGGCGTGTGGTATCAAAATTTCCATTAAAATAACACTCTTCCAGCAGTTCCTCACATCCAATATCTTGTTTGTCACAGGCGACATGCATGAAATGTATCTGAGTGAAAGTGTAAGTGCCAAACTTTGGTTAAAGTCGACAAATTAAGAATGAAACATCCGAAATTACATGAAACTCTGGTGGAAATGTGAATAGCATGGTGACGGGATGACGTTAATTATGTGCTATAACATATAAAACGGGATCATGAAAGAAACATCCAAAAAGCAACTCATGTAAACACGCTAATCCTATTATTGTCTTATTCAGATTAAGGCAAATAATTTGATTACTGGTGTCCATGTAAGACTATAGTCACTGTCTATCTCCCCTGCATCTGTGCTTGGGTTGCCGCTGTGAAAATCAGCTGTAGTGCACGTACTGAAACTCCCCTTTTCATGCAAACCCTTCCCTCTTTCGCCACTCAACACTTTCACCTAAACAAAGCAGGACTCACCCACTCCTGACTTTTTTCAAATAAAAGGTGGGAAAACACCCTGCTGAGATGGAAACAACAGTTTCATAAACATCTGGCAAACAGCATTCTACACAAGAAACGTTTTCTTTTTGTAGCAGACAGACACAGAACGGCACTGCCAGTGTGCACAAACAAGCAGCGCAGTGATGTTGGCTTCTTGCCTGGTGTGTGACCTCCTCTGAGTCTTTAAAATGTCTCTGCAAGCGATCATACTGGTTTGAATACATCTGTCAAATGGCCAAAACAAAGTTCTTTTAAACCGAATTTTGTTTGAAATTATGTCATTTCAGTTACTTCTTTGATTTTATTTGAAGTATACTTGTGCCTTTAGATAATGGTGGAGTAAATGGATGAATGAGAGTTATATGACGCAGCAGTGACTGTAATCTCAGCCGGGTTATATGCGTTTGCTGCTTTTCTAAATTCTTGAGTAATCTATATTATGTCAGTGAAACACAGGAATAAGATTTTGGTCTCATTTAAATAAAAAAACAACATTATTATGGCATGGATCTGTGAAGAACGTGAAGACAATCAACTGGAAGGGTTACCAACCGTGTGTTTTCTGTCCGTCCGATGACATAAAAGCAAGGCTCGCCCTGCTTGGAGTTAGTCATACAAAGAGATAAGCTGGAAAGCTCCACTGGAGGAGAGTTCAAGAGAGGGAGAAAGAGTAAAGTATGAAGCAATGAATTAAAGAAAGTAGTAAATAAGGAGAAAATAGTTCAGAAGTTCAGAAAAGGAGAGAAACTTTAATCCAAATCATGGTCAGCACTAGATCATGGGCATCTGGGGCTGTTAAGGGCAAAATTTTCTTTCACAAAGTATTCATGGAAAGATGTGCACTTTAAAATATATCTATTAATTAACAGTTTTCATATTTTGAAAATTTAGACGTGTTTTCCATTTATTTACTGTTGTGAATTGCATTATGATCTCTGCTCTGTCAACTTTTCATGTTGAATATTCAACTTTACAGTTTAACAATAATAATATAATGTATAAGAAATAAAATATTGAGAAATAAGTCTGTAAAATAACAAAAAAATTACTGAGGGCTGCTTATTACAAGGTTTTTGTAATGTAATATACACCCAACACAGACAAAAAACTAATGAAAATGTTAATAAAAGTCACTTTTTTGAACTTTTAAAGGTTAAAAGTTGTTAGAAGAAAGATTAAGCTCCCATAACGCAATTCAAAAGTGTAAATAAATCAGGAAAAATAAAAACATGAATCGCAAAATATATAAAATTGCTAATTTACGGATATTTTTACAGTGTAGCATATAAGCTCCAAATGTCCGTTTACCCTCCCATGACCCCGACTAGAAGAATCTGATCTGCATGTAAACATGTGAAAGTGCTGTTAGGCTATTTTACAAATTACAAATTTTTAGGACAACTAACACATTAGGTTTACATTCAGAGATTTCAGATATGGAAAAAAACACTTTTGTTTTCTCTTAACGTAGCATTGCAACATCACTTATTTTCTCACCATGTCTTTAATGGTTCATTCAAAAACCCTCTCACTCTGAAACCTGTATTTCAAAGAGCCTACACTGCTCTGAATGGTCAGATTACCCAAAAACGTAAAGCTGATGACCATATCTGAACTTCAGCTTTGGTGGAATGTTCAGTATTTCTACACACAGTGATATGGCCCCAAATCTTCGTCCTTTCAAAAACAGATTGTCATTTTTTAGTGCAGAACATCCCTAAATTAAACTCTTCCGGGCCTCAACTACAACTAGAGTACTTAAGGCCTGGTCAAAATCAGGGGCGCCCCCAAGGGGTGTCCAGGAGTGGCCGTGGCCACCCCATTGTAAACTCTGGCCATTTCTGTGGCCACCCCAATATGATTTTGCTGTTGATATTATTAATTTAAATGTACTTGCATAAATTCACAATATTTCAATAAATAAATAGCAGCCACTAAATTGCTGTGGATTGATTGGTGCCACTGCTGTAGCTGTTTCACTGCCCCTCCCCGATCGTCGTTGACAGCACGCACACACCTTCGATAGACAGCAATGGCAGTTTAATATTTACCTTAAGATACATTAATAAAAGAAGTTGTATTATTATTTTTGGCTCAAAAAGGAATAGGGCTAGATGATACTATTAGAGTATGGTGAGTGTGTATGTAGATAGTAATGCCTTTGGTCATTTGTTTTATTAATTAATTAATTAATCTTCATAAATTTTAGACATGGCATATACCGTATGCTATACAATAAAAGTAGGTGAAAAATAACTGAAAAGTTATTTATATTTATGAAAAGTGTTTTTAAACTAAAAATTGATTTTTATTTTATTGAATTTTAATATATTGATTTTTTAGGAATAAATTGCAATATTTCAAAAGTAACTACTTACATAAATTAAAAGCACATTGTTTCATTTACCAGAAACAAAAATATAACATTACACTGTATACATAAAATTTTTTATGTGTGCCACCCCAAGATTTGATGCAGCTTATTCTGGCCACCCCTAAGAACATTTTCTGGAGTCGCCACTGATCAAAAGAGATCATATTTTGTCATTATGCAAATTTGCTACCAATGTATGTAGGTTTATGTAAGAAACTCAAAAAGGAGGTTATCAGAGGAAGCAGAACTTTAGTTTGCCCTCACCATAATCCGGTACGTATCCGTTGCCTTTCTTCAGTACGAGGTGTATCCGTGCTCCTCCCTTTCGGATCTGCTCAACGGCCTGGCTGTGTGTCATGCCGACTGTGCTGTCTCCATTAATCTCCACCAGCTGATCACTCACCTGCAGCATGAGTCAGCAAAAGCTTCAGTGAATCAGCGTAATGTCAACAACAGCACCTAATCCCAGCATGCCTCAGCATAATCTTCACAACATGACTCAGTACTGCTCCTAGTGTTTTGAGTCAGAGCTTCAAACATCCCTGACAGCGCTGGGTTGTTTACCGGTATATGTGTGCATAAGCACATGTGTGATATTTGTATGTATACTATGCACTAACCTGTATTTTCTGACTGCGTGAGGCCGGGCCGCCCTCCATCAGACCAAGCACATACAGACCCATGTTATACTCACTTCCACCTCGCAAACTAAAACCAAATCCTGTTGGTCCCCTCTCAAGATCAACATTATAAAACTGGGAATCCTGATGAGAGAGAGAGAGAGAGAGAGAGAGAGAATTTTCATAAGCAGCCTTGTGTTGTATAGGATGTGAGATGTAAATTAAATACTTTGAAAAGTTTTACATAACATAACACCTTATGGATATTAAATATTTTGATGTTTTATATGCTATATTGCACTAAAGTATGTGTAGAATGCATAATATAACCCATTTCAAAAGAGAAAAGGAGGAAAATGTTTTTAAAATGATACATTTCAGTCACACTTTCCCTTTATTTTCAACAGAATCTATACTAAAATCTTGAGTCTGGTGATAGGTAGTCTCACCTTTTGCTTGGCCCGATGCCCTTTCCTCAACCGGCTCTCAGCATCAAAGTCAGGGTATTCAGGCAGATTATTGTCTAACAAAAAAATAGACACACTCATGAGTTTAGACACACAATGTAATAGCGCTTATTTAGGGTCTATACACCAGTACCCTCTTGTGGCCAATGTTAAAATTTCTCCTCAATGTCTAACAGAAAATACATTCATTCATTCATTTTCTTTTCGGCTTAGTCCCTTTATTAATCTGGGGTTACCACCGCGGAATGAACCGCCGACTTATTTAGCATATGTTTTACACAGCGGATGTCCTTCCAGCTGCATATTTTGCATATTTATTCTGCATATTTTTGTAAAAATTGTATGTAATAAAACTGTAATAGATTGTTTAATATGAAATGATGTTTTAACTTTTTTAAATAATGTTAATGATAAATTGTTAATGAATTAATTGTAAATATTTTTTCTGTTTAGGTACTTTCCGAAATAAAATTATTACAAAATTGTGAGACACTACCTGACAAAAGTCTTGTCGCTTATTTAAGCTTTTGGAACAACAAATAATACCTTGATTTCTAGTTGGTCATTTGGTATCAGAAGTGGCTTATATGAAAGGTAAAGGCCTCTAGATTACGCTTATTTTACCAAAATAAAATGTGATCATGCCTTGATTTAGCTATTTAATAAAGACAGTAAGGTCTGACCTTGCTTAGACTTAAGTCTTGTCACATAACAGAAATAATGTACAGTATAGAATATAAAGTGATGGTGCAGTGGAAAAATAATTCATATCATGTATGACTCCCATGAGCTTAGAAGTCTGCATCCACACATCTCTGCAAAGACTTATTATTAAAACGTATTAATAAAGTCATCTGGAATGGCAAAGAAAGCGTTCTCACAGGACTCCCAGACTTCATCAAGATTCTTTGGATTCATCTTCAATGCCTCCTCCATCAATATTGTTCATCTCTGGTGACTGGGCTGGCCTATTCTGGAGCACCTTGACCTACTTTGCTTTCAGAGACTTTGATTTGGAGGCTGGTGTATGAGAATGAGTGCTATCCTGCTAAAGAATTTGCCCTCTCTTGTGGTTTGTAATTTAATGTGCAGCACAAATGTCTTGATACCTCGGGCTGTTGATGTTGCCATCCACTCCGCAGATCTCTCGCACACCCTCATATTGAATGTAACCCCAAACCATCTTATTTTCTTCACCAAACTTGACTGATTTCTATGAGAATCTTGGGTCCATGCGGGTTCCAAAAGGTCTTCTGCAGTATTTGTGATGATTGGGATGCAGTTCAACAGATCTCAACAGAAAAAATCTAACTTCTGCCACTTTTCCAAATTATCAATTAAAGGTCAAGTTATTATTTGTTGCTCTTACAACTGGGATCAGCGACAAAACTTTTGTCAGGTAATGTACACAAAAACAAACGCGCATGCAAATAGACTAACCATTTAAATGTACTGTTAAAAGAACCAAAGACTAAACAGATCAAAATAATCCTGAAAAATGTACAACAAGCATTCTAAGCAACACAACTGCTTACACATTGAAAATAATAGAAATTGTTTCTTGACCACCATTTATGCATATAAAAATGATTTTTTAAGGTAACCTGTGACAGTGGAAACTGGATAAATGTTTGCTGAAAATTCAGTTTTCGGTCACAGGAATAAAAGTTTACGAAAAAAGAAAACAGTTATATTAAATTAGATTAGATGTGGTACAGATTCGGTGCATTTAAAATATCAACCCCAAACCTCAAAACAATGGATTATGAACCAACATACTGTACCTCATTAAAAAAGAAGCAAAATCAAAGCAGTCAAGTGAAATAAAAAGCATTATTGATGTTTAGTGTGCTTACTGGTGTGAGAGCGTGGTACGATGGTGAGTCTGAGTGTGTTTCCAGCTCTGCGTAGGATCTGTGCAAGGTCTCTGTGAGGCAGCGTGACCACCGATCTGCCCTCCACAGCCTCTAGCTGATCTCCTGGCTGAATCTGACCACTGCGCGCCGCTGGGCTCCCCCGACGCACCGTCACAAACCTATGAGACACTAGAGACGAGGCTAAACACACAAAACAGACACAGAAAGAAAGAGATTGTCAGTTTGCCATTCATGCAAACAAAACTAGGGGCTAGATTTACTAAAACTGACAAATTAGCATGAGACTGTTGCCCTATTTTCTTTGGGTGTCTAGAAATTTTGTTTTATAAGTTAATATCAATAAGTGAATCAGCACTGAATCAACTGTTGATTACACAGCTGATCTGAAAGGAGCACAGTCATCAATGGATCCCTATTATTTTCATTTCAAATGTAAAATAGAAAACACAAACAGTGAAGCTTCAGAATTGACATTATAATTGTGCAACTCAAAGTCCATGCTGGACACTTCAACTTTTTAGACCTGTTTTGAGTGGAAACATTTCTTTAAAGGTGCCACAGAATGAAAATCTGGAAATATCTTGGTATAGCTGAGTATTAACGCCAACCTGATTTCACCAAGTAGGACATGTTCATAGACTAACATCTATGATCAGAATTAAGCGATATGTTTACCGTTTATGTTAAGTATAGGCTTATGGTTAAGTTTATGAAATTCTACATGATTGTTATCCAACTATTATTCCCCTCTGATTTTGAGAATACTTTAAAGTTAAGGGGGCAGGGAATAGATATAGATTAGATGGTAATCCAGAATCACATCATCATGATTGCAAAATTAAAAAAAAAAAAAGCACATGCTTTAAAAGAGAGTAAAAGATCTCATATCTTCAGAACTCATCTGAACACAAAATGCAGGATATACAGATTATAAATGTATTCAATGCCACTCTGAAAAGGCAAAAGTCTGTTTAGATGTATCTTTTATTAGTTTAATGCGAATATTCAGACAAATTACAGCTGATACTAATAATGAGGAACTGACAAATGTAAACCTGACACTTAAAACTTCACCTGACTATAAATTTAGAATAAAAACACATTTAAACTGTTCTTCACGTAAAGACATGAAGGTTTTTAAAATGCCCATTTACATTAAAGACAATAACTATAATGATAACAATATAATTAAAAAAATCTGTTTAAATGTAAACATATCAGCTTCCACATACAACAACTATAATGATACAGACATAGAAGAATGATTTCGCTGGCATCGCTTTCTATTTTCTCTCATTATTCCATAGTATTTTTTTCCAACAATAAAAATTAAGGTTGCCTGTTATCAACACACCCACACACACACACAAAAAGAAACTCAAAGGGTTGGAACATACTGTACTGTAAAATAGCAAGGTTCCACACAATTCCTTCATTTTGTCCCAACACAAATCGAATAAATGAACCCAATAATTTTTTACAAATTTAAATAAACTTTCGAATTCTGTTGTTTCAGCTAAGGTAATTTTTTAAGTGCAACATGAAAGTAAGAAAATGAGTAAATGAATCATTCTAGGCAAATTGTGTGTTTGAGGATTTATGTTGACATGTTCTCTATCACAAACAAGCTTTTTTCCACGCACTTTTTTACATTACATTTCACAAAATTGAGAGTTTGTTAATTAGAAAGGACAAACTGGCCATAAATCACTAGAATAAACTGTTCGCGTTTTTAGTTACAACGTGGAGCAGTCTTATCATAGAAGTCCAATGCATTAATCACGGTTATTGTACACCGGTGTTTGCTTAATTATTGCTTTCTCCTTCACTGTGTCCCAAGTTTCACTGCTGTTCTCCTTTTGATGGCTCTGCATTCACTCAGTGTAGCCTATTGTATGATGTGTTTTGTTCCACTCCAATCTCGTCTGTCCACATTATTCAGCCTCTTTACTCTCGGCCAAACAAGAGGTTAGTTGCCAAGATTGTAATCTCAAAGTCCTGTGTACAATTACCCTGAGCACTCGCCATCATGTTACACAGAGACAGTTGACTGAAGAAACAAGAGCTAGACATAAAACATCAGACAGCTGAATGAAACACTGCTCTGTTCCAGTTAACAATCTGCTCTATGTTCATCTTTGTTGGAAGATGCTTCAGCTAATGTGTGTGAATAAAAACACACACACAAACACACTATTCAGACTGAGGTACCTGTTTTCAGAAAAAAAGAAAGTAATCCTTATCCCAGCACCCAAGCAAAATGAAATAGGGGAGAAACTAAAGGGACATGTTTAATAACGGGAAAAATATGTAAGTACTGCAAAATGATAGTCGTTGCCTTAAATTATTAAGCCATTTTAACTTGCATAACATTAAATTGACTTTGAAACTGAGGTTGAACATAACTTAAAGAGCCCCTATGTGTTTTTGAAAATGACCTTCCATGCAATAAAAACATCCAGCTGAGGTATAATCCAAAAGTGCACTGTTTAAAACTATTGTTTCTTTAACGAAATATTTGACTCAAAGCAGAATAAATTAATTGAGCTGTTTCGGATCTTTTGCTTGAACATGTCGACGCCAAAACGGTACATCACCGAATATGTAGTTCCAGATCCGATTAAATGTGAAGGCGCTTTCCTTTCAGACTCTAGCGGAGCACTGAGGATCACAGGACTGATCATAGCAAGAAATTGATGATCACTGACAAATGAAGATTCGGCTGCAGGGAATAAAGGGTTAAAGTTCATTTTCACAACAATACCACAGTATATCCAACCTAGTGCTGTGTTTGTTCCTGTCATTTTTCTGATTTTTGATTCAATAACCTATGCTGCAGTGCGGGACTCGTCGGCTGTTTGCTTTTAGAGGATGGAGCAGCAGAGACTATTATGTACAGACTTTTTCATAGCCATGGTGGCCATTCTTCTGTCTCGTGCTGAATGCAGTCGACCAATCACAACAGTCTGGGTCATCGGTCCAATCAGAGCAGATTAGCTTCATGCTAAGGAGGGGTTTGGGAACAAATTTATTGCTGAAGGAATCATATAGACATAGTTTGGGATAATTAGGTAAAAATAAATGCATATTATAAGACAATGAAAGTGTTTTTTGACCTTGCACGCATATCAACTTGTTGTTTGAGACCCCAAAATTAAATTATGACCTTTTATAATGCAAAATTGGAGCTATTTAAATTAAATACTTTACATGTAATATTTTTGGTGTAATAATTGAAATAATTTTTAATAAGTTTAAATAACAAAAACATTTGTTGTTATGAATTAATGATAATATTTCTGTATTAGGCCTTAGTATAGTGCTGAACTGAACTGGCACTGAGCAATATTGGCTGGCAAATCGACTTGTTTGTATTGATCGTGCACTCATGTAGGGAAACAGCCAACAGCGCTGAACACATAAAAACAAAAACAGCCCTGAAACACTTTCTGTTAGCCCTTTAAATGCTCACTGACCTAATCTATGTCAAAGATGGCAGCTTACAGCACCTTTTTAAGAATACAGGCTTCAAGCACTGTGTACAGTGTACACATTTTGCACTTCAAAATATGTGAACTGGGATTTTGCGCGTTTTAACCTCCTGCTTTGCTGAGGGAAATCCGGAACCACACACGTGTACAAAGCTCTGACTGTAATATTAATAGAAAATGAAAGACCAAAGCAAAGGAAACTGGGTTACACTGACACAATGGGCAGCAGATCCGAATAAACAACAAACATGTCATAAAAGAACAAATATACATGATTCGAATTCACACGCCACCACAACTTTCATATTTCAGTGAAAACTGGTCCCCTTTGATAGGATAGTAAAAATAATTAAGACTTTTCTTTAAAAATGCAAAGATAAAAAAAAAATGTGTTAAACTGAAAAGTTTTACAGAACGATCATTTCAAAGAAATAACTTAATGGGGATTAGAGCAAAAAAGGGACAGAAAATATCATTAAAGTACAGTAAAAAAAAGAATAGTAGTCCCTATGGCTCATGTGCTACTTTTATACTAAAACATGCAGCGATTTTAAGAGATAGCAACTTAATTGTTAGTTTTCTCATACAAAGCTTTTAAATACAGTGCATGAAGCATATGCATCACTTTTAAGATTTTTTTTTTTGGTCTTTTTAAAACACTGGATGAACTGTTCAATAAAGAAAAAACCTAATATTTTAGATGTAGGCAACTAAAATACTTCAAAAATGACATCGAACACCATAAAACATAATTTCAAAAAGTATCAATTGTTCATTTGGCTCACATGCTTTGTTGTGTACTAAAACCCATCAATATTAAAGTTATCAAAGCAATTAAGTGAAAAACTAATGTTTATTCTTTTTCTCAAAAGAGGATACAGCATCACATGGCTTTGGATGGAGCTGTAATAAATTAAATACAATTTTATTTGCGCATTTAGGATAATTTTTGCTTCTTTTCATGAATACAGAATAGATCACAAAATTCTCCAAAAAACTTAGTTAGCCTATGTGTTATCTATAAGCTGGCATGCTTTAAAACAATGACAAAAGTCACATTAAGAAGATAAATGCATTCAATACGTACAGTCTCTGTCACAAACATGGGTCTATAAATTGGATGACATCACTCTGCACTTCAGCTTTTCATTCAATTTTTAGTCCAATCAAATGCTCTGTAAAATCTGAAGCATCTCTCCGCCTACTGAAACACTTTTTAAAGCAAAGACGCATTTGGTCTCTAATAAATTGTATAATAATAAATATAATAATAATAAATTCAGCCCTAATGGAATATTTACACCGACATATACATCTTTGCTTCAAAAAAAAAAAAAGCTTGATGCAGCACTCAGGAATGGGTTTTAAAAAGCACAGCGTAGTGCAAGGTCCAGGTGATGTAATACCGACAATGACAAACCCATTAGAAATAGGAAAAAAAATGAATTATGCACTTAGACATACAAAATAAAACTACTGGATAAAGCCACTATGAGTGCCTCGTCTGCCATGATAAAACAGCAAAATAAACAGTTGTTAAATTTCTACTATAAACAGAAGTTTGCGGTTACCCCGCCTCTGAGTTCTCCTGATTGGTCCACTTCTTTTAAACCAGTCATTGATGAGCTGCACTGAGTGTGAAAGTTAAAAAATTTTCAGCTTGACACAGCATCTTAAAAATGTGGCCCT